TCCATTCATATTAGTTTACTCTATAAAGAATTTGATTGTTAAGTACAAAATGATCCGCAGCTTGACAATTCTTCATGCTCAAGCTTATTTACAATACATCTGTTGCAATCGAATACAATTTGGCTCGAAACTGAGACTGAAAAACTGACTGAAAAGAAAATACAGAAAAAAGGATAACCGAATTATTCAATAATAAAGAGATGCATTTCATTTTTATGATCATATTTGCGAAGTCCCTTTGGTAATTTCGTCACGTTTTTTCGTCGCTTTCATCTTTCACACCCGTCTACCTATTCGGGCGATGTAGAAAGAAGAAAATTGTAATAACGCACACACTACAATGAGTTTGTTGACAGTCACATGCAATAGACGACACATGCTTTCGATGTTCAAAACATAAACGGATTATCAGCGTGGAACGGCAATATTTTTGGCAAACATCGCCAGGTTGATGACAAAGCACTCTCTTTCATTGATTTATGCACCCAATATTTGGCTCAGATCTTACCTACCCGTGGAATACTAGTCGTCTCTTCCTGGAACAGGCTATCTCGGAGTTCATATTTGTCATATTAACTGTAAATTTGTCCCAAGGTGGATTGTATGCATACTGTGTATATGCGAGCATGTCTTTGAACTGGTCATCGTGGCAGCTCTACCCACATAGACACTACCATTTCACATTCCAATAATCCGAATTGTTATATAAATCTTCCGTGATTCTTCAATTGCTCGGCTTTATCTATCCCACATGGATCCCACCATTTCGACACACCAGCATTTTTGTATGCCTGTCTGTTTGTGCCGTGTTGCATAGGAGCCGAACTTTCCACACTGATCTGCACTGATTGCCGAACTTCGCTGACGTTTATCACACAAAAGGGTTGCCGAATTCTGGGAATCGTTTACATAGAAGCCCTAATGTTTAAGACAAACGACTCGGGTTTAGAGACTAAGCATGGTGCGTCGATGTTACGCTGTGGTTAAAATTTCTTAGGTCAAAGAACAGTTGTCTCAGTATGTCATCCACATCAGTAATTGGTATTGGTATTCTGTGACTCACACTCTAAAGGCTTGAAAGAGTGACCCGAAAATTATTGATGTTTGCCAAAGATTTCTCAATCGGTGCACTTAAGTAATAATATTCTTAATGGTAATTGTAAACTAACAGTTAAATTAGAACCTTCAAAAGTTCACTTCTTGATTTTACCGAAAACATTTCATTTTCCAGCCAGCACAAAAATAACGGAGAATCGTTTTTTTTAATTTTGTTCTTTAGATTGCTTTATCCAATATAACTGACAACACAGGTAGCCATGTTGAGCTGATCGCCCATACAAATGCATCCCCACCAAGCTGGGCTCCAAGAACCGTTCAAATGAAACGCATATGGTCCAGCTCCGCCGAAGTCGCGTTTTTCTTTCCAGAATTTCGTGATTCAGCCCCAGTTATTGGGTTCCAGGTAACGTGCCAAATTTGAACCCCTTTTGCTACTGCATTTTATAAAATACAACGAAGTACACTGTTCAGATGTTTGCGCATCACGATCAATCCGGTGAAACCCTTTTACTCTCACATTATTGGGAGTATAACAGATTAGGTTTGTGTAAGATCTTGATATTTCTTTTTTCAGAAAAGCACGCGTTAGTTTCCCATCGTTTCCGGTTCGGCGTATTCAACTTCATAAGTAATTTCTTCTGTGTCTGACAATCAAAATATTGTTCCTATGGTAACTCATACCTGAAGATCGGCGTGAATTTTTAGGTCACGATGAATGTTCCCAAATAAAATGGTCGTATTCTAATTAAATGTAGTTTAAACTCCCATGAATTATTAACAGAAACAGGGAGATAAAAAAAAGGAAACACTGCGGGAACCAAGCATTACCGGCCTGTTAGATGAATAAAAATAATTGATTTATGTTTACCAGCTCCCTATCGCACAGCGTACTGTTAAATGAAGTGCATCTTGCCACCTGTGGAATCATGAAATTTCAACTGTGATTCATTTAATCCTTCAGATTCCACATAGTTATAATGTTTTCACTGCCGTTTTCATCACGTCTGAGAATCCATTTTCAGGTGAATTAACTTTATGTATATGTAATAAAGACGTTTACTTTCTATCTCTGGCATACGTTTTAAGGTGTTCTGTTTTCTCAATATGTCCGATTGTAAACAACCAGTGCAATTTGAAGTTATACACTTCCTTCAATGCATTTACCGTGATATCAGTTAATAAGTGGTAACCGAATGATTAGACAAAAGTGTCCGGGAAGCGCATAACCAGTTTTACGGATACTGCACCTCATCAGGTAGTTGCACCAGACACTGCCCTACTAACTACTTCATATGTTGCTTTTCATGTATCTATTGCAATTTATGTATCTAATAGATTACCTCGTAATTGAGAAATCTGTCAAATCTAATCATCTGAGAGGCAATTTACGGAGTAGTGTTATCCAACGCAATCTGCTCCTCGCGATTGGTGAAACCTATTAGACAAAGGATTGTTGTCTTGCTTCCTTTTTGGAGTCGGGAATGATTGCTTGAGATCCGGTTTCTCACGGTTTATGCACGTTCAGTTTTAAATGTGTGTCCTCGTTACGTATGTTATGAGCATCAAGGCGATTTTTTCATTATGAAACAAGAAAATAAAATCGGTATAGTTGGCTATCAAGGATCATCCGGTATTCCAGATTTGGCGGAAAGCTCGATATCGTTTGAGGTAACTGTGGTTTTAACACGTGATTCCTTACCTGTAGACCAAATCGATGTCTGACGTACGAAGTTCTAAACCCCTTGGAAGACGTTGCTTTGCCGGAATTTTTTCATCATTGTTAAATGAATTATTTATTCAAAATGTTTGCTTAAAATCTATCGTTAAGGATTACTGCAACATAAGTTCAGAAGTGGGAATGGATATTGAAGAATAATTGGTGTGTCGTGCACACAATGTGGGAAAAACAAGAGGTTTTCTGATTGTTTACAACGCAGCACATTTTCGATATCGTCGATGATCCCACAGAACTTGTCCTGAAAGCGAAATTTGTTTGTAATGTGCGTAGTAATTTGATTTTCAAGTTATTTCAATGTTTATTAGTATATTAGTATTTGAATACAGTATAAGGAGTAGACTCCATAATCGCAGGATAAACTGCAAAATGTTTGATTTTATTTCTACTCTGACGGGCAACAATAATAAATTATCATTATATGGTTCAAAACGATATTTAAAATAAAATAAACTTCTGCTACTACTCACTATCCGACTTTTGAATTGCACTACAAAAACTCATCAAGTATTTAAACAAGCAAGTTGGAAGAAAACAACTGCGAGAGAAATTCATTGCTCATACTCTCATCGGTCGCGTGCGCATTAGAGTAGATTAAATAGGCAAATATTCAATGAATTAACGAAGCTAGTGAATTTCTTGTCGGATTAGAGGCATGAGCCTATGATTATGTGTGGTTTCATGTGAGTAATGGAGGATTTGATTAAATTTCAAATGGGAATTCGTCGTGTATATAGCAAATGAGGCGTGAACTGAAATGCTGGCTTTTCATAGAGAATTCCATGAAAACACTCTTGAAAAATTGGCGTGCCAATGCCTGTCATGGTCTGCATATCGCTATCAAGATGTCCGGATTAGGTTGTGTCATTCTAGGTCTCAGTGATCATTCGGTTTTACAAATGTAGAGATCACCTAACGAGGTAAAAGAAAGAAGATGTATTGTGTGACCTAATCGCGGGGGGGGACGCGATAGAGTGAGTGGCATTATACGCACTTTATCTCACGTATTTGATAGGCTGTGCTATAAAATATATTTTTGATCCCCTTCTGTTTTGGATAAAGATGTGATTATAGTTTTTTAGGGCACCAACTGGATGAATGTCTGGATCTGGTTCCCCGTTTGACTCAGAAAACGCACATAGAAATCAGGATATCACTTCCTAAGTTATTCGATGACATCGTTCGGTTTTTTGTGTTGTCACCTTATAGAAAAGTATCCATAGCACTTTTGTGTTTGATGGGCGAGACGTTATAAAAATTGGAGTATTACTAAGATCAAATGTTTTCCCGCCAGATGTATTATCCAGTAAAAACACAACACTTTCTGGTTAGCGAAATAACCGGGAAAGCAAGCATTTCTCCTTTATGCATTTCGTAGGGCACTTTCAAGTCGGATATGTTGCGCTTAGTTGAGCTGATAAATAATCACTGTCTTGAGACAGATTCACAACCATAAACACGTCCTCAAGGTACTTTTTCTACATAGCTTTCTATTTTTTCTTATGATACCGGTGTCCATATATTGGAGGAAATCTTCTTAGAGTGTTTGAACGCTTGCTGGTCAACAGAACATTAGCAAGAGTTGGTTGCCGGAAAAGATTGTGACAGCTATTCCATTCACCTCATCTGGAATTGCTATGTCCATCTGGTATATCCNATTCCTTTTTTATTCACACTCCTACACATTGTTTTAGGATTCAAGACTTGTGTGTCCTGTGCGATCCACATCTTCTATCTCTCCTAGCCGAATAAGATCTACACACTTATTTGGAAAAAACAACGTAGTAGGCATAGACACACTTTCGATGATCAATCAATCATCCACCAGCTGTACAAGAGAATTTCGTATGTATATGGATTTTGGGGGTTTGTCCGGCGTTTCTTTCCTCATATTCACTTTGGAATGATATGAATAAAATATTTGGTGACCGCTCAACAGAATACACATTGTCATTATCATCATTATCAGCTGTGATGACTTGTAGGTGACACTGATCCTCAAGCGTCGGTGTCCTAAGGACATAGTAAAATTCACTTGGCCGGTGATAGTGTGCAACTTCTAATCACCAAACGCTATAATTTGGCCAAAGAATGTCGTCCAAATGGTATCATCTTCCATATGCATTAAATCTGGGTCTACGTTTTTTTAACGTAACGTAAGTTCTGCTAATATAAAGACTTTTCTTCGAAGTATTCAGTAAAGCCTTGGCAGAAGCTGTAAATAGAGTTTCGTAGAAATCGGGCCTAAAACCCAAAACGAAGCATCTGTTGGTTCCTCTTTCTTGTCCTAATAAAAGCATTTCTCCACTAGTGTTGTCAGTAACTTTTCTTATTAGAGATCTCGGTCTCACCCCATTATCGGACGATAATTGATGCTCCGCCTATTCTAGGGGGGTGTGGGGCACAGTTTTAGCTTGTGACGACCATACCGATAAAGAGGATGACGATGATGATGATGATGATGACAGTTGTACAGATAAGAAAAGCAGATACTTCGTGCATCCCTCAGTGTTGTCTGTTGGTGACTGACAGACCTGACAAATCACTGAAAACAGTGTGTAGTTCAGATGAAAGGATTGTTGTTTAATTGCTACCCATACTTCGCTCGTATCGCACGCAAACACGCCCATAAACCAACATGATGACACATGCACAGTTTGACAGACCTGTCATCCAAAGCATCCGTATCCTTTCGACTTGAAACAAACCGAGTGTTTGAGTTAGTTTGGACACCCTCAGTGCTTTGGGACATGTGAGCACCAGTGAGCCACCTATCCATTGTAAGAAGGAGGAAGATTATGGAGTAATCGGTATACACACAAAATGACCAGGTTTTAAATATCGCTTATCAGTATCCGCTAAACTAGTGAAACTAAAGAATCCCCAGAGGTGGTCCGACTATTTGACCGCATACGCACAAACACACCCAAGAAATATGATCCACAATAACAATATGTACTTCTTTTAATCTGTAGAACGTTCAAAAATTGCAGCTTTAAAATTAAGATTACTTTCTGTCTACGAATTTAAGGCCATATGTTTTTTGGCGTGAATTACTGAGTATGTGTTGATAAGGATCTGAATCGTTTGGATAGCGTCAACACGGCGCTCATAAATCTTCCGATATAACCGGGAATGATGACGCCTATTTTCTTTGCACTTGCACCGAAGAAAATTCCCCGGTTTTTTACCTGTGCTACGTAAACGACCGCACGATCATCTCGAAAGCTGATAATTTATTAATATTTGTTACAAATTACCTCGTTCTGTGTGCATTATGTGATATCCGTAGAGCTCCTTAAACTCAGGATGAATAATGCGATTGTTCCGCATTAAGTGAAAAAAAAGATTTTCAGTCGTTTTCGGCAGCTGAGGAGTAAGAACCCTCGTGTTTATGTTGTCCAGGTTTTATGGAGTGACACAGACATATATCGCTCCAAAGAAAGCAGAGTGGAATCCGATAATGGTAGAATGACGGAGAGATCAGGAAGATCCTCCTTACCAATTGCCCAACTAAATATGAGTATGCTCTGCATTTGTTTTGTAATGCGAACGAAACTACGACTCACACAGTGCAGCGACGTCCATATAAATGGGCACCGGCATGTCATCTGATTCGTACTATCAACAGCTGACGACGGTACGAGACGAGGCAGACGACGCACCAT